CCCCTCTCCCCCCCCCCCCCTCGAATGCGCGACAACCTACCCGCACACGTCAGGATAGGGCGGAGACGTCGAGTGGATCACCGCTTGGTTCTCTTTCGTTTTTATGCTGTTGGTACTGGGTACTGGTAGGTATCAGTGCCCGTGCTGCTGCTGCCGCCACTATATTGGGGGTGGCGGTGGTTGGCAGCGCGGATAGAATCAGGATGAATGGGATCAGTTAAGCGTGTTGCACAATTATTCGTGTCCGGTCGCGCGTGTAATGGTCTGCATCGGTGGTGCGGCTGTTGTGCGGCGACCGGGCCAGACCGGCTCGAGCCCAGACCAGATCGAAGACCGGGATGAACTGTGCGCCAGGCGGTCAGTGAGTCCTTGGTCGGTCCTTTGCCTCCATTTTATTCGGTTACCATGTCCGTTTTCTTGTTTGCCGGCAACCGGAACGTCCGCTGGCTCTACCCAAGTGGCAGTTGGACAGGACCCCGTGGTCTCAGATCGGGCCAAGGCCACCTCCGAGATCCTCCCCTCTGCTATTATACTCTTGGTTTGAAACCAGCCCTTCCTCACGAGCGTACTCCATCATCGGATCGGGTCCCGCGCTCCTTCTCTCGACACTCGCTCACTCGCCTAACCTTTCAGCGAGTCCGTAATTAAGACGCGCTCGCTCGATATCCGCCACGATGAGGGGGCGCACTTCGCCGGGCCTCCGCTTTGCCTTATACGCTCCTGAGGTGGATATGCACCCGCTAACTATTATGAACCTCGAGTAGCGGCGCTGCTGGCTCGTTATAACTTTCAAGTTAGCCACTGGTTGCCGCTCCCGCAAAGTGAAGACGACCAGAAGGAGCCGTGGAGCAGGGAGCCGCTTTTATTTAATAATAATTGGATGGCGGTGTCCTTTCGTCCGACTCTTTTGAAAACTTCTCGGATTTATGTACTGCCAAGCTCGGCGCGAGTTATTGTCGCATTCCGTCCGAGTGATCTAGTTTTGTGGACGTGCGCCGCCTTGTTGACATTTTTTTACAGTCATAAAAATGTGTTATATCAGATGCCCATCTGTTTGGTCCAGGTATCGTCGATCAACAGGGTGCTGAGGAATTTGGCCTCGCAGAAAGAGCAACAAGCGGCTGCTGTGCAGGCGCATCAGGGCGCGGAAAGCGTTTACGATAAGCTGAGGATGTTCAACGGGCAGGCGGGCTGGCCCCCCGCATGGTATTCCGCCACTCCTTCTCATCATACCCTTGCTACCGGCATTCCAACGGCGGCCACCCCTAGTTCCGGGCAATCTCTTCTGCCCGGTGGTCAACTTCATGGGCGCGACGATTCTCTGCTCAAACGATCCGGTAAGTCTGGTGAAGCTTCTGTACCTTCCGTTCACTATTCTCGTTCGCGTTACTAAGAAATATCTTGCTTCCTCGTGCTAACGAGCTATCACGTTTTGTCTCATTGTCGTGTATCAAGAATAGCCATTTCGTTTTGACTTTACGGAAAGTCAACAAGCTATCCAGAAAAAGATTTTTTTTTTTATATTTAATATATATTATATTTAATATATATCATATATACATTCAGTAGAAAATATTTAGAAATTCTAAATTGTTAGTCTCTACTTCAATTGTTTTCTGAGAAAACGTGCAAAATTATTAAAAAAGATTTTACTTTTAAAATATCATGCACGATATATTAAAAATCATTAATATATTTATCAATGAAATATAGAACGAGGAAATTTTCTTTATTATCCTGAAATTCGATTGTGTATTGTCTCTTTGTAATCTTCTCGCCTACAGTGCCCGCACTGATACTATTCCTTATGCTTCTTATAAAAGTATACCCGACAATACCTCCAGCCTCCCGTCCATTTAATTCCAACCAAGAATACCGCACTCTATTCATCGGGATAGGTAACCGTGCGAACTCCGGTACCGCTTACGCATTACGTAAGAGCCTAAGACGATTCGAACAGCTGAGCGAGAGTAGCTCGACAAGAGTCAGGCACGAGAACGAAGGCGTACCTGCGCCCATGAACGGACGCGTCGCGGCGCATCGGCTCTGCCTAATAGGATATAACCGAAATCGTCTAAGGGGACCGGGATTGCAGATTGGATCGGGCTGATTCCACGCAGCGTCTCGTTCGATAATCACATTAAAGCCGGATGATGGGCGGGCGGGTGGAAGGGACCGTACTGCCAGTACAGAATAGCCTGCGGACTCCCTCGCAGCAGGGCGCCTGAGAATAGGTGCAGATTCTCTCGCGGTTGAGAGAGAAATTGGCCATGTAGAAGCCAGGAGTGTGCCCCACCAGCCAGTACAACCGCACGTATGGCCCGGCAAGGCTCGTGACGCGTCGAGGGTGACTCTATCACGAAGAAAGGGGATGCCGGTGGTAACTAGAGATTTTGGTGCCCAGCCACACGCCTACGCCAAGAAGCAATCGATGGTATTTTGGTAGAGGGCTTTTTCGGGAAGCTGTGCTTGGGAGTTCCGTGATAGAATACTTTGGGGATTGACGGCGTTACGAATATCGGAACGGATGGATAGCGAAACGGATGGACGTGGAGAAGCATAGACGGATGGACGGACGGACGGACACAGGGAGGCACGGAGGGTCGAAGTGAACGCGCGAGGGTTGGATGCGCGGAGGCGGAAGGTAATCGCGGCGCACGGGGGTTGACGGGGTTGACGGGGTTGACAGGCATCAACCTATCCTCGCCCTCTACCCTGTGTACTCGTCGATACCCCTTATACGTTAGATACGTCGCTAGCGAACCCTGCAAGCCCTCAGCACGCGATGCTCCCTCTATCGCGACCTGGTCGACATTACATTCAATATAATCCGGATGCTTGGGTACGGCGCGCTATGCTCTGCCGTGAATGTTGGCTTGGTAGCGAGGGGTCGGGGGCGCGAAGGGGCGGGTGGGGGGCACCCGATTCCACGTGCGACAGGACTACACGGCCAGGGACTGACAGAACCGATAGCAGGGAATACGTTAACGATTTGTTAGCGATTCGACGAGGGATCGAAATTTACATGCGACGTAAAGCCTCGGTCTTGTCCCGCTAATAATAATAATCGCACTAAAAGGAAAAAAAGAAAGAAAAAAAAAAAAGAGTATCGGCCCACATAAAGAAGCAGGCTGTTCCGAGAAGCCTCGGCAAATGCGGCTATGGAATTTCTTACTTCTCTCATTTTATTTACAGACGCCGGCACCCTTCTGTCCCATCAGCAGGAGACGACGTCCGATGGTAATTCGGAGCACAATTCCTCGGGCGACGAGGACTCCCAGGTGCGGCTCCGACTGAAACGGAAACTTCAGCGCAATCGAACGTCCTTCTCCAACGAGCAGATCGACAGTCTGGAAAAAGGTATGTGTTGCTTGTGTTCGTATATTAGTCGTCCTAGCGAGGTCTTGCGAACACTTCGAGTATCGAATGCGCAAAGGCACTCGATGGCTTCGAGAGTTTTGGCAAGAGGCCTCGGAGGCTTTCAGCCCGAGCCGTCCTTTAATAACCAGCACTTGTTGCGATCGTTTGATTTTCAGAATTCGAGCGGACACATTATCCGGACGTGTTTGCACGGGAGCGTCTCGCCGAGAAGATTGGATTGCCTGAGGCACGTATCCAGGTGAGTGTGAATGTGCGTGAGAATGCGGTGTGTGTCCTCCCTTATGTCGTTAGTCCCGGATCATCTTCCCGCACTCCTTCACGGCGCTCTCCTCCTTTACGATCAAAGTTCCAATTGGCTGCCGGTCTGACGTTCTCTCGTTACGCCGGAACGCGCGTAGCTCATGCTTCGTCGAGTAGACAGACGCAACGATCTTCTCTTGGCGTTCACTTTTTTTTTTTTTTTTTTTTTTTTTTTTACGGA